GTTATTAGGTTTAGTGCTCGTGTGGTAGTGTTTATGTGGAGGAGACTTGTCTACTCATACACAAAGGGCTATCAGAACACAGAACCGCCTGCAAAGGCTCATAGATTCAGAAATCGCATGTGGCTGAACATTTGGTAGCTACAGGACAATAGATAAAGTCGACCAAATCTCAACGTTTTGCCGGATATGGGGACTTCAAAGATAAACCGAAAATCAGAGTCAATTGAAATTAATAAAACAAAGAACATCCTGAAAGAATAAAGAAAATTAAGTAAGAACCATCGCTGGCTTCAAAATAAAATGAAAGAGAAAGAAAGAGTACAGAAAGAGCCACTGATTATGAGCAGACGAGTAAACTAAGCTGGAGCTTGTTTTTGAACCTAAAATTGTCAACCAAAACAGATTTATTGCATACAGACGCAAGCACACATCCACGAAGCTGTAACAAGACCCAGGACTACTGGATCATACTCTAGTTTATTTACATATACAAAAGTTGTGAACACATTCACTCCCCTGCCTACATCACTTTGACTCACTTAAATGCATATAGGACAAGCATAAGTCAGCCAACCAAATCATGGAATGCCTCATTAAGATCGCAAAGTGAGGTATAAAAATTAAGTAGGATCTCTGCTGGCCCCATTTATCGGTTTAGTGTCTTTTTTTCGTGAATAATGGCTTCTGGCTCTGACGATATTAGACACATGACGGGCGAAAGCTCAGCATGGAGTCATCGGGGTCGTAGGACGGTAAGCAGAGGTTTTATCGCACAATTTAACAGACAAAAGGCCAAGGCAACCCTCCTGAGGTATCCAGTGAGGCCAATCTACGAATCCATTCGACCCGCCTTCTCAAAGTAAAAGAAAGATACGCCAGTATTTATCGAATAAAATACAGTTTGAGGCGTTTATTACCATAATTCTGAATGAAAAGCGGTAGTCGAAAGGCCAAGGGGGGTTTAAATAGCGAAAGGAATAAATCCCGTATTTGAGAGCCATTATCACTAAGTATAATCTAACGTTTTGAGATCAATTAGCCAAATAAATTCTCAAGCATGGTATGTACAGTGGCCAGAATCGAGAAAGTATAGCTAGTAATTTAATCGAAGGTATGAAGACCAAGTTGGTGTGGCCTTTTGTGTGGTCGCAGTCTCCTTTCGTTGTATATGAGTAGTTTTACCTCAACTTAGTCATATTGGTAGGAAGACTTAGATGAACACACCCAGTCTGAATAAGAGCAAGGTTGTATAAAATGAGGGACGAGGATTCAGAGTTATGAGCCTAAACAAAAGTGAAAGGAAAAGATGCCAGAATCATTTAACAAAAAATTGCTGGTGTGATTATATGATCCCTGCGAAAAACATAAATCATTTCTTGTTGAGCCAAAGATTCTTTAAGTGTGAAATAATATATTGGAAGCCTGCCTTGAATTTGGCTAAAAAGGGAGCCTTGGCAGCCGATTGCATCGGTGTGCCCGATTGATAATCGATCTCAAGTACAATCGACTCCGGATTCGAGGGCAGGTAGCAGCCTGGACGTAGTTTAATCCGATTGAGCGCTTCCAAGCAAGCCTTTTTTCGGGCTGTTCCTTTAGGAAATGTTCTAAAGTTGGGGAAGGCAGAATCGAATAAGGTAAATATTCGTGAATACATGTAGCAATGAGCAGCGAAATTAAAGCCAGATCATTTACCAAAAAATTATATTAGAAAATAGCAAGACTTCAGTCATAAAATCAGATTTTAAGTTATAAATGAGTATTCATTAAAAATCTCGTCAAAGTAGACATAGATAAGCATTGCAAAATTCTGGCCTAAGCTAAATTTTATAGACGTAGATGAGGTAACATTGGCATATATAAAACATCAAGATACATAACTAGCAACCAATTATTTGGAAATCCTATTCTAGTCATACTATTCAGAAATTAAGTAGAAAATGTATTAATCAAATCAAATTAAGCTAAATAGAGCTACCTCGAACCCAATGGTTTCAAGTGGAAGAAACAGGTAAAACAATGAAATAAAAATGAAAATGCAAGAGAAATAATAAAGGTGATTCACCTTATTTCTCCTGAAACTCCAGTAATCTGATCGAAGAACTCAAATTCTCGACGATAGAAAGCAAGCGCAGGCCCAGTAAATCCATTCTTGATCTCTTCGGACATGGCATCTAATTGAAGACCGATTTCGGCATCTCGTTCAAGGGCTTCCTCGTCCCGAAAAATATTCGTTTTAATATTCCATAACATCTGGTGTGCCAAAAGAGGAGATCGCTGCGCCGAGGATAGAATGAACTCTGTTAGATATCCCATCTGCAATAGAAAACAAAGGGTGTTTGTTCAAACGGCCGTTAAAATTATCAGACCCACATTAGCAGTTCTTTCAGATCTTGTTATTGAAAGAATAGAAAGAAGCAGGGCCACCGTTTTTACCTCCATAAAGATTTTGTTTGTATAAGCATTTAATAGAATCAATGAGGTCCGTATGAGAGGTATATTACTGAATGAACAAATCTTTTTGTGTAGATTGTCTAAATAATTAATTTTAAATAAAGTCACTCTATGAGTAAAAATAAAAATAG